ACCTCTTGAAGAACTCTTTACATGTTTAAAAATCCTCAGTGCAAGCCTTGGCAAAACAATTTATTAGAAAAGATAACTTATAGTTGATCCAGACACAACTAAACCTTAGTATACTATGACCACCGAATAACTCTTCAATTGTGCCTCCTCTACTCTTTAGAATTTCTGGACTTCGTTTCCCTCCATATGGATCACCAAGAATGAACATCGTTCTCTAATTAGAACTCCAACTGCCTCTCCCAAACTTTAAAACTCTGAAAAATTATTGGTAAATGATTAGTTTTTGGTATTTGATATTTGGATCTTTTGTGTTTTGATCATTTCATTGAGGCAAGAGATTTATGGAATATGTATTTTTTCTGTGTAGGATGTTCTCTTGACCGAAATAAAGGCTCAACCAATTTCCAGAGATGTTTGGCACGAACTATGACTTGGGTTTATGTAATATGGAGTGTTTATTGTTGGTTGAGACTGTAAAATCTGTTGACAATCGAGACCTAGGATTGGTTGAACAATACTCCTGCTCGAGCGAAAGTCTTGCGGGCAGCGAGCGATCACATGCCCGCTTTTACACTCATGGCCCAGACAGCGAGTGGTGGAGTAACTATTAAAACCACTCGAGCGGTTTTGCGTCGACTTTTTCTTCTTGTTTCGTTTTTTACTCCTTCAAATCATAGTCCCAACCCCCGACTCTTTAACCTTAATTACAACTTAATAAACAATGATTTTGGATATGGAACTGGCCAATACAATTTGACCTTAACAGTGTAGGCTGTTGTTACTATCCGTACACTTATGCACAATTTTATGGTATATAGTGTTAGATACTACTTACTGTGTAGCAGCACATCACATAAACTTTTAGCTTTTTTTTTGGGCTCCATTTTAGAAAAATGTTTTTTCTCTTTCTTATTTTTAAATGAAACATACTCAAATAAAATAATATTACACGTAAACCTAAAATTTTCTTTACTTTTTAACCACTTATTCTCCAAAAAATCATTATTTGAAAATATATTTCGTTTCCAAAATCTATTTTTAATGGAGCCCAAGGGCTTAGTTGTTTTTTATTTATTTTTATTTGTTTTATCAGTTCTCATGTTGTACATTTCAGTATGTTTAACGAACAATAAGACATAAGTGTGCATCGTTGCATCACATTAGGTAACCATCATAGTGATAGCTTTTTTTTCCTTTTTTTTTAAATAACATCAACTTTTTATTATTTTTCTTGATCGCTTGTTTCTCTTTTCAATGTCCATTTTAGTAAAAAGAAAATATTGTAATACCTTGGTTTTTATGTCTACTAATCGAAGAATAAAGTGGAGCAAAAAAAAACATGCATTTTTTTGTAACGACCCGACCTCGCGCCGGAGCCGTTATCATATCATACGTATTGTCCGCTTTGGAAGAATTTAGACCCATCTTACCCCTCACGAAACTTGTCCAATTGGTACCAAGATTCAACTTAAGTCTCCCATATGATGGAGGTCTTGGGTTCGAATCCTGAGAGACGCGTCAGAAAGCCGTAAGAGGTAAGATGGGTGTGACATTCTACCATTAATATAATTAATATTTATTAGTATTACTTAATTTTATTAAATTTATTATTTTTTTCTTATCCTTTTTATTCTGTGATATTATTATTTTTGAATCATTCTAGAATTTAAAAGTTTATACATAAACATATCAAAATAAAACCGAAATATATCATGAAAATTAAATTACTAATATAAAAAGTTTAAAGAACAGTCAAACTTATATTATAATCAAAAGAGGACTTACTTTACAAAATACGGTTAATTAATTAGCTATATAACCATCCAAAAACTCCAGTCAAAAGAAGTGCGTGCCGACCTTCAAAAAGTATTCTGTAGATCTAACTTATAACAGGCTCATATAACTGTATATCAACGTCAACCATATCATCCAATTTTCACTACATTCCTTTACTATGTACCATCATC